AGCCCAGTAACTCTTACATTGGCTGGCAGGAGAAGGATGCATAGTAGACTCACCCAGCAGGAGTCCTGAGGTCCAAACATGCCTCTTGGTGTTACAAAGCATTCTGTGTGGTTACCCTCCAGATCACTAGGACTGTGGGCCTCATCTTGCAGCCTTTGCTCAGACAACACTCCCATTGACTTCCACAGAACTTCTGTCTGAGTAAGGACCAAGGATTTGGCCCAGAAGTTAAAAAAAAAAAAGCTTTCTCAGCTTTCAAATGTAGATGATTAATGTCCCAGAGACAGTGGGCAGAGGTTTGGCACACTGTACAAAACTGACTTAAAGCTGAAATTTTCCTCCTCTTTTTAGCCTCTTTGCAGACACAGGCTTTGAAAGCCACCAGTCTATGAGATGCTGCATTGTATCCACCATGGGAACATCTCACCTGCCATAGGGCTCGGCTGAAGCACAGAGGAGACCAGGCAAAGGGCTGAGTCTAGGGATCTACACAAGTTGCCTTCTGTCTCTGAAAGTCTGCAAAGTTTTTTGCTTCCAAGTTTTCCATGCCACTTAAATAAAACACTGCAAACCTCCTCACCGAGATTAGCCTCTCCATCACAGCTTGCATTCAGTGATGCACAGCTCCTCTTTCTGAAAGCCTGACTTGTACAGCCTGTCCTCTCCCAAAATGCATTCCCTTATAGGCACTGAGATAAAAAGGGGTATCCTGCACCAAAACAGTGGCACATACAGCCTCCAACCAGAGAGTGTAATGCAAGGAAGCAGCTGGGCATCTGTGACTCTGAACAGCCTGGAAGAAGAAGAAATGAAGGGCACGCTGTGGTCCAGGAAATAACACACGGTCCTTTTCTGCTATGCATCCAGCTCTGTAACCCGTGCCCTTCCCCGCTTCTCCGGGAGCGATTCCCTGGCTTGGAGCACGGTACATACAAACAAACAGGCAACCCCAGAGAAAACATTTCCAAACTGTGGAGCGCTGGGTGAAGAGACAGAGGAGGGACAAAGGGTGCAAAGCAATGAACAGAACAGACAGAGGTGGGGTCACGGCAGCAAAGCGGCAGGATCCCAGAAAGCAAAAGAAGGACGATGTCTGCTGGGCTTACAGATAAACAGGATCCTCCCGAGCTGAAAAAGCAGTAAGCATCAGTTTTGCCAAGTTAGATTGTAAGGACAAGGGGTCCAGATGCAGCCTCTTAGTGCCTTCAAAATTCAGAGGACTCCCGAAGGAGATTTTAGCTTACATGGAGAGCCACCAGCAGGATGAGGAAACAAATGACATCATGACAGACTAGGCTACGCCAGTGCATATCAATTTATGTGTTCTTATTCTGCAGTGAGTGAGGCAGCTTGAAGAAAGCTGGCCTACACATGGGCAATTCCCAGACAACAGATCAAGCTCTTGCTTAATGACAGTACCCTGTTTGCACAGCCACGGCGCAGCCAGGGATGGGCTGTGGGCAAAGGCCACTCTCAGCCCCTTCCATGGAGAAGGGTTGTGAGTGCAGGGCACAGTAGAGAAAAAACGTTGGTTTTATTCAGGGAATAAGCTTCTGTCTTGCTCAGCAGCTGTATGTTCAGATGGGACCAAAGGCAAAGAGGGATATGTTCCAGTTTCAGTCATGCTCATGTGAATCATTAATCACCGCAAAGATTGGGGAGAGGCTGTGGATTTATATCCATGCAGCTTGTTTCAGAAACCGGGCTCAAAATAAAGACAGAAAAACAGAGAGAGTGCTAAAATGATAAAACCTGACTGACAGGAATATACAAAAGAACCAAGGATCACCTCCTTCTGCATAGCATTCAAATGGCAAGGAGAACAGATGAATATCAAAGTGATCCTACACATCCAGCACAACATCCAGAACTGTTAGTGGTTTTAACATTTTTTTAACGTTACCCTCTGCATTTGCTGACACAAAGTATTGTAGGACCAAGATCACAGCCGACTCTGTAAAGGCACAGAACACTCAGAAACTTCTGGTACAACGCTTTTGCTGGGGAATTAAAATGGAACAGTTGGTGAAGAAGAACTCAGGCTAGAGGAAAAAGAGTTCAAAATATGCCAGATTTTGCACGATACAAGAAGGAGTACTTGAGAGCAAAGAAAGCTGCACTGAGATAGAAAGAGATCCATTGCTGTGCTCCAAACCAGAGCCATTAACCAGCCAGCAAAGTCAGGTCTGGTAACAGTAAAGAGTCAAAACTAGGTGAAAAACATGCATGGAGGGAGCAAGGGAAGAGGCAGCCACATGTCAAAGGAGGTCATCCTGCTGAAAGAAGGCAAATGGGGAAATGAAACACCAGGCCTAACCCAAGCTGGAGGAGAACAGAAGCTTTGGGGGAGAAAGGGAAAGAAGAAACACAGCGGCCGATGAGAACTCTGCAACAAATAGGACAAGAAAAGGAAATGAGAACTGGATCTGTAAGGAAGTCTAATGAGAAGGGGCTTTTCTTCACTGAGAAGGGCAAGAACAACTTAAAGAAGAGTAGCAGTCAAAGGGATATAGACCAGTAATAACATGACATATCTATAATGCAAATAGGGCTAGCAGCTTGCTAGTGAACTGAGAAGGAGGCAGAAAACTGGGAATGAGGGCTTAGGAAGACCTCTGCTTTTGAAACTGCAAGGGGCTGTGGGTCCTCCTCAAAACTAAATGCCAACACAGTGGTTGGAAAATGGAATGAGAAGAAAATCTACGGCCAGCACCAGAGTGCCCTGTCATTCAGGAAGCTCCATACGCAAAATATGTCTTTCACTTGCAAGAAAAGAAGTTGTGACTTGTTGCCTCTTTAAACTCTATGTATAGGACTTTGGTCCATGGACTTCAGACATGTAACATAAGAAGATCACACAGGGGAAACACATGAAAGAAGTGCATGATTGGGCTAAGGGTTGGAGAGGGGATGCTGGTTTGGATCTCAGTAAATGACCTAGTAAAGCATGGAGCTAACCATCAAAGAATCCATGAAGAAAAGGTGGAAAGAAGCCATGGACTTTGGAAACTCCGTTATGGCCCACAGTCCTGCGATGGTTTGGTTATATGGAAAACTTTAAGGGCAAAGGATTACAGACCAGAATTTGAAAAGCTAAATCATAATGAAATCTACGTCACTCAATAAAATGTCCTCTTGGATAAACCAAAACAAAACACTATTGTTAAGAGATGAAAGCAACAAAAGAGAGGGAAGACCGGTCTGGCTTGGAAGACAGCATCCAGGTATGTTGGAGGTTGATGGCTGATGGTGTTGTGAGGATCCAGATAAATGTCCATGGGAAAGACCATCTTTATCAGAAGAAAAAAGGCAGTGTGAACAAATCCTGGGTAAGGGGAGAAGGGAAAGAAAGAAGGCAAAGCTGACAAGCACATTAAACCTCAAGTAAACAGCCAATTAATCCAGAAATATCTGATGAATTACCAAGAGTGATCCTGCAGACTGTTCTGTGGTCTTTTGCCTGAAAAGTATCACTCAGCAGTGGGAAAAGCTTGAGCATCCTGGTAACCAAAAATTCAATTACCCTAATGCAGCCCATATAAGAACCTCTAAAACAGACTGACCAAGGTAACAAAAACTGGCCTATGTTGCAAAAGCAGTCACCACCTCTCAAATATCGAGAAGCAGGCAGAGCAGTAGACATTCATACCCAAAAGCTGCACCCTGTCTTCCTTTTCCCTCTGCAAACACGCAGGCAGAACAGTTCCTATCACAAAGTACTAGGTATGTCAAGCTGCAGTGAATGCAAACATTGAGCCATACACTACTTGATAATAACGCTGGAAAACACTGCGTGCTGTTTATCTGTCCCAGGTCTAGCTTCTAAGAAGTGGTCTAACTGCTAATCTTCTGGATGAAAATTAGAATACTACACTTATTTTCTAAAAGTCAGTAGGGAAAAAAAAACCCCAAACAAAAAATAGTGTTTTGCAGACAGGTATAAATTAAAAGCCTCTCTTCCACAGAAGGAATTATTCTCACCTAAATATTCAGAAACTGTATTCAGCCAAACATACGACAAAAGAGAAGGGCAATGGTTCCCTACGAAATGGACTCGTTTCACTGCTTTCTTGGAGTGAAGTTAGAGAAAGAATCTGAACATTTTAAAAAAAAGTATTTACTTCCTAAGTTGTCATGCCCTGTGCTTCAGTAATGTGGTAGCATCACATACATGTTAAAATACAAGTTCTACCCTTTATCTGGACGATGTCCAGTGAATTAAAAATTTACAAACCACATTAACTGAATGCGTTAGCCCAATGCACTTTGGGTTAGCGTGCCACAACAGCTTCTAGTATTTTGTCTGTCCCACATCTGTCCTTTCAAACAATCTGTAACCCTTAAAAAAAATTAGTGAATGGGTAAAGTAGAAAATTGTACAGTCTAATCTGCTCTTACTGACTTTGCATCACACTTACGGTGATGCAAAAGCATCCCATGCGCTAGCAGGAGCAGGACTGCAGCTGCACTACAGCTCCTGACTGCAAGAATTCTGTTTATATGCAGTTTCAGAGCTCGATTCATGATAACCTTTGCAAATAGTCCCACTGGCTTGAGCTGCTCCTCCCACATCACGCAAGGACGGTTTATAAATATGTTAAGGGCGAATGTCACGAGAATGGAGCCAGGCTCTTCTTAGTGATGCCCAATGGTAGGACAAGGGGCAATGGGTGTAAGCTGGAACACAGGAGGTTCCGCTTAAATTTCAGAAGGAACTTATTTACAGTGAGGGTAACAGAGCACTGGAACAGGCTGCCCAGGGAGGTTGTGGAGTCTCCTTCTCTGGAGACATTCAAGACCCGCCTGGATGCCCTTCTGTGTGATCTCATTTAGGTTCCTGCTCCGGCAGGGGGATTGGACTAGATGATCTTTCGAGGTCCCTTCCAATCCCTGACATTCTGTGATTCTGTGTGGATGAAAAGCCTTTGTACCACCAGTGACTGATCTGCCCTTCCAACCACCTGGCAAGCAGCAGGCACACCCGGAGCACCTTGGCCTACCTGTGGCACAAAGGGCAATGAACGTTTGTGCATGCTTCCGGATCAAAAGCAACTTGTCTTTAGGTAGAGGCAGCTTCCTTAGGATGTGTTCAATGAAATCATGCGGGGTGACAGCTGCGAGGTTCCACTTCAACTTCCCCAGTACCACCAGCTCCCATTCCTGCAAGGGGAGACAGAGATGGGGAAGGGAGAAAAGAAAAGCCATAAGCAATCCTGAAAAAAAGCTTCTCCGATTGCAATTGCATCACTGCTAAATTGGTTTTGCTCAAGCATTTTTTCCGTACGCCCCTACTGCTTTGAAGTTTTGAAGTTGTTGACTTTATTCTTTTTTTTAAAAAAACAAAAAAAAAAAACCAAAAAAAACCCCAACACTGGAAATGTCAAGCTCTACTGAAAATAATGAGACCTGGCAGCTCCTGCCAAGATTTTACTTTTTTTGTATCCAGTGCTGAATGCCCACCCAGAAAGTTTAGCCTGCAATTAGATATTGCCAAGGTCACTGTGGTCCTTCCCTAGTAACTTCTTTTAAATGGCTATAGTCCTTACTTTATAGCCATTTAAAGCCTTAGGGATAACCATGCACAAAAATAACCTAGATATACATCCTTTTTTTCAAAACTGGGGAAGTTAGCTTGATGGCATTCACTCCCAAAACGATACTCAAAAGCTCCTGCAGATTGATCTGATGGTGCGTAAACTACTCCAAGGCAGGCTTTGCAGAAAGGAAATGCATGTAACACAGCCTAGAAGCAGCTTCTGTGAATTATGTGCCAATAAATCACACAGGATCCATTCCCAAATTCTTTGCACATTCAAAACTCACAGCGAAATCAAAGGAAAGCCTGGGTGCATATGTAACTACTGGTCATTTCCTGCAACGTGATTACGTGTAGAAATGGTACCTAATCAAGAGATCTGGCCATGGGATTCAAGCAAGGCTAGACCTGCATGCTTCAATATTTAAAGTAAGTTTCTAATACCTTACAGTGCCCTGCAGAGTGTACAAAGCCCAGGCCTTGGACTTGTTTCTGTCTCATGCATCAGCTATTAGCTATTAACTAAATTCCATGCACCGATTCTTGAGTCCTGATGATGCGTGAGCCTGATGGAGCCCAGCGTGGCGGGGAGCCCCAGCTAAGCTTGTAGAGCTGGCAAGTTGAAAAAAAGTCCTTTAATTTTGCAGCCGAGGAGACGTCAACCAGCGTTGCTGAGAAACCATAAACATGGACCCCACAATGCCATTTCTGCAGTCGTTTCTCTGAATAGATGCCCACTTTAACAGCAAGTTACTTTCCTGCAGACATTCCTACTGGATTATGACAGAGCCCTCCATAGCCTGAAAAATCTCACATTTACGTATGTAAAATGCCCCAGAAACCAGATTTTTTTTCTTTCTCAATGAAACCTGTAAAATGTTTGAAAACAACAGTAATTACGTTAACTAAGGAATGATCTTCCCAAGATCACTAATGCGACAGGTTTTGATACAGAAGAGCACTTAATCCATAGGCCTGAATACAGGCAAGCACTTAAAACACCCACTTAAATCCACATGGCACAAAAAGGCAGGCACGTTGTTCCACCTCTTCTCGGGCAGTGGCCACAGCACGTCCCTGAACAGCCCTGTACCACCA